CCTGTCTACAGCATAAGCCAAGCCTGGGATGTGTCTTCACTGTTTCTGGCCTCAGGAAATGCAGTGGTCGTGGCCCTCAACAGTGGGTACAAGGGTGTTGCCTACAACACTAAGAGATGATCGCAGTAATGGGACCAGGGGCTATGATTCCACACACCCACAGTAGAATCCTAGCCTCACGCTAGTCACGAGTGACCTAAACCCTCCACAGCCATTTGTTCGTTGTAAAACAACTTGACTGACTGCTGTGAGGACTTCTGTGTCTGCAGGAGCTAGGAATCACTTGAAAATTGGTGACTGTTGTCATGACTTGCCATACAACTATACCTTCTGGCCACAGAGGTATTTAAAATGTAATAGCTGTCCCTGTCTGGTCGGAGTGGTAGCCATGTTTTCAGTAAATCTTCCCAGAAGAGTTTGATATGAACCAAATGCTGTTTTCTCCCCTCAGTCTGATGTTCTGGAAAGAAGGATATTCTATGCCTGGAATCCATGCCACCCCCAAAGTGCAACAGAGCCAAAGAACTTACGTGTTTCCCAGCCCCATGTGGCCTGGACCCTGTCCCTTATTTCATTTTAAAACTGATACCAAAAGCCACCTGAGAGAAGAGAAGGGGAAGTCATTAGGGAAAACACATCTCTACCAGGTAGTCCTGAACAGTGGCCCTAACTGGGGCTGGTTCCCAGACCAGGCCACTCTCAAGTCGCCTGGGGGATGGGCAAGGTGCTTATGATTTACAACTTCAGGGGCTGACAGGGCTGGGCCACAATCTCAGACCTGGCTCCAAAATGGAACTCCTAGGTTGTCTCAAGATGTGATGCCCAGCCATTGCCACAGAGATTGACCTGTCCTAGACCAGTGGTGCTCAGCCATCATCTAGTTAAATGGTGGAGCCAGGAATGGGGCTGGCTGGCTCCAGTCCTCACTATAGCTGCTATCTCCACAACCTTAGAGGTTTTATGTGATGAAGTGTTTCACAAGATGCAAGCATGTCCCTCCTTTTTGGGGGCATGCATTTTTCTAAACTTACCTGTAGGAGTCCCTCTGTCTTCCTGTCTTCTCTAAGGCCAGCCCCTCTCTCTTGCCTTTTGCTGACTTCCTCTCCCTAGATATGGTCTCTCTTCTTCCTCATCCATTCTCATCCCTTCTACTAGGTCATTCTCAGCAGCATGAGGACATACTCTGATAATTCCCACCTTTATAAAGCACCCACGGCCCCTTCCATTCTGTCCCCTGCCTCTCTGCTCCATTTGCACCAAGACTTTGGAAAGATGGGCCTGTGTGCCTCTTCCCTTCATCTCTCACCCTGCCTTTTATTCCTTTTCAGCTTCTAGTGTCTCTCATTCTTGGTCTGACCAAGAATATCTTTCTGACGAGTATCCCACGACCACTTGTGCTCACTTTCCTCCCAGTGGCCAAAGGAGCATTGTCAAAGTGTGAGTCAATTCATGTCATTTGATTTAAAGCTCTCAAATGTTTCCCTACCTCCCTTAGCATGAAAGCAACCTCTCACCATGGACAGCAGGTCCTTGCGGTAGCTGACCTCTGCCCAGCTCTACCTGCGATTGTCTGCACCCTACCTTTTTCTATCGGTATTTGTGCCTGAGATAGAAAGAGAAAAGGCTTATTGGCTCATAGTTTTGGGGTTTACAGCCCATGATTGATTGGCCCTGGTGCTTTGGGCCTGTGGCAAAGCACCACATCCTGGTGGTGGGTGTGGTGGAACAAAACTACTCAGTCCATGGACAGGAAGCAAAAGGAAGAGGAAGGGACCAGGGTCTCACAATCCCCTTCAATGGTACACCCCCCCCCCCCCCGCCGTGTCCTAAGAACCTCCCACAAAGCCCCACCTCTTAAAGGCTTCTCCACCTCTCAATAACACCATCCTAGGGAGGGTCCAAGCCTTTTAACACATGGCCTTCAGGAGACATTCCAGATCCAAAGTCTTTTATTATCCCAAGCTCTTTTTGCTCAGGGGCACCAGCACTCCCACGTCTCCCTGGACTGATCTTGCATTCCTGGGCATCCTTCAGGTCTCAGTTCACATGTTGTCTCAGAGAAGGCTTCCTGGAACCATTTCTCAGAGCATGCACTACAGTCTGAGTGCATCTTGGCTGTGTTTTGCTTACTTCCTTATGATCTTGCTCCACTATAAGGTAAATTCTATAGAAGCCGTGACTATGGGCATGGTGACTCACGCCTGTAACCATAGCTACCTGGGAGGCAGAGATCAGGAGAGCTTGGTTTGAGGCCAACCCTGGCAAAAAGTTTGCAAGATCCCATCTCAAGCAATAAAAAACCGGGTGTAGAGGTTTGTACCCATCATCCCAACTATGTAGGAAGCATAAATATGAAACCATGGTCCCGGCCAGCCCAGGCATAAATGCAACCCTATTTGAAAAATACCTAGAGCAAAATAAAAGGCTGGGTGCATGGCTTTACATGGTTGGGCGCCCCCTGAATTCAAACCCCAGTACCTTGCAAAACAAGTATGACTCAATCTTTTTCTCTCCAACCCCGCATGGATGGACAGCCTTGTGAGTATATGGACTTAGGTGAGGGAATACTGACTGAGCTTAGTGTGTCCCACTCTCCATGACCAGACCCTCACTGCCCTCTGTAGCCCTTGGTCCCTCTCTCCCACCACACACATTCTATTTCCTACTTCTTTCTTTTGGTGAACCCCATTTTTATTACAATGCTGAGTTGAGGTGTCACATCCATCAGGACACCTTCCCTGACCCCCACCCTCCTTGTGATATACAGGTCTCTGTTGCAGCACTCTTGACTTCCCCATCAGAGCACAATTACTACTCTTTCAAGCCGGCCAGTGGGAAGAATGAAAGCTCTGAGGTTAGCTGCCTGGCTTTGAACTCCTCCACTGCTTTGTGCATGGTGTGAGCCAGGTCCTTAACTTCTCAATGCTTCCCTGTCCTCAGCAGTGAAGTGCTGAGAACATCACCAACACCCTAAGAAGTAAATGGAGACACAGATGAAAAGTACAACTGCTGGCGTGGCAAGCCTGTGAGAACTCTTCCTTCAGAGAGTTGTTTCCCCCGTCTCTCTTTAAGGTCAAACACAAATTTAAAACTTTTGAAGCAATCTGTGATCAGAGACCTATTTTTTAAACCAAGCTCCCACAACTATTAAATGGTTGACTCTTCCATACTTGAACAATATTTTTAGTGACTTGCCTCTACTCAGTCTTTCTAAAGCTCTCCATCAGGTTTTCAAAGAATTGATCCCCTATCTGTTCGTGTTCCTAATCCATTGACCCACTTAATATTAAGTGACGTCATTACAGTGACAGGCACAAGTGCCCGTTTGGGAAGTTGCAGAAACATAATCTAACTGGGGAGAACAGAAGAGGATTGGGGCGGGGGGGTCCAGACCAGAATCCCCACCATGGGTGACCGGCGGGTGTGCAGTGCTTTGCATTCAGAAGTCAAGTGTCTGCAAAGGATGGAGTGTGGATTTTGAAGATTGGAGAACAGAACTAAACAGTACCTTCATTTTCTGATAAAAGCTGCACGTGCAGATCCTAGTTTGGCCAGCAGGTGGCAGATGTGGTTCATGAGCTGCCATTCCCTCAGGGACTTGGCATTATTAGTGACCCAAATAGGCAGCCCCCTTTCCTCCAGTGAACCCCTGTGACACTCTGAACTTCTGTGTTCTTTGGCAGCCTGGCAGCATTTTTTTCTGCCCAGGTCAAAATCAATAGAACTCTCTCATTGTGGTGAGAAGACCCTGCTCCTCCCTGCCTTCTCCAAGCCTCAGTTTTCCCTTTCCATGAAGAGAACTGGGCCAGTTCCTACCTTACTGGGCTGATGTGAGGAGTAAGTCACATAGGCTTTCCTCTGTCTCCTTGAGCGGAGGGAAGGTAGCATTTCACCCTCAGGGAAGCTCCATCTTCCCAAACGCAGGCTGGCAAGACTTCTCCACTGGCCCCTTGGAGATCCCAGCAACACCTGGCCCTGACCGCTGATGCTGTGGAGGGTCTTTGGCAGGCGCTGGCCTCCTGGTTGTTGAGGGGACAACAGGACAGTCAGCTGCCTGGGGACAATCAGAAGCTGGCCTGCCTCACCACTGTGAGAGTCACCAAGCCAGATGCAGCTGGAGGCTTGCACTTCCTGGTAGGTGACCAGCGCTCTCTGGGGATACTGCATTTACCCTGACAGGCATAACATGACATAGTCTACCCGGCCAGTGCTACCAGACATCATACGCCAGTCCAGGTCGATGGGTGTTTGGGGCTGAATGACTTCTCTAGAGACACTGGTCAGAAACTGGGCACTTGGGTAAACACTACTCCTCCTAAACCCACTGTACGTTATTGCTTATGTAAGTAAGAACTTACATGCGAGGACACTGAGCAGGAACAGGGCAAGGACAGCAGTGCCAATGCTACCGTACCGCGGGGAGGTGGGTTGCGGGAAGGTTTCTTGAAGGATGGAGGCTTGGGGAATGAGGACGAACTGGAGGTGAGTGTGCATGGGGTCACTCCTCACTTATGGGGCTTCTAGGAGACGGGGCCAGGCCCAGTGAGAGGTGAGGCTACCTGGAGGACTCACCAGCTCAGCTCTCCTACAGACCTCATCTGTCTGCCTGGTGCATGGCTCCCATGCGGCCTGCAGCTTGCTGGCTCTGACCCTGGAGCAGAGCCAGGCCAGCAGAGGAAAGCAGGTTACAGCAGGTAGCTCAGAGGGCTTCCCAAGGCAGAAACCTGCTGCAGAGGCCGAGAGGGAGGTATGGAGGAAAGGCACTGACCTTGAGTCCTGAATGATGGAGCCAAAATACAGATTTATATAAATCCAGCTTCCCTGAAGATGCTGGGTGCCCCTCTGGGAGTTTCATACCCTCTCCCCAGAGGCCTCTCACCTCTGTGAGAAACAGGAGACATCACAGCCACAAGGAAGGAAGCAGGTGGTGAGGCACCATGCCTTCAGAGCACATTTAATAAAGACAACCTTTCTGTTGGCTGCCCAGCTCTTGGGTGCCATCTTGTGGGTGGCCTTGGGGACTTTTCCTGGGTGACAGGTTAAATGCGGCTCTTGGCACTGTCCCCTTTGATACCCGCATAGTGGGAGCAGCATCTAGATCCCACCTGAGGCACATGGCCCTGACAGTCTCTACAGGGGTTCAGGATCTCTCTCCAGCTGGCTGCAGAACACCTGGCTCTGCCCAGCTGGTCCAAGCTCCAGGCTTCGAGCTCCTCCTGTAGCCTGAGGCCAGCTCTGCTGAAGCACAGTGAGCAGAGGCTTCTGCTCTTTTCACTTTGGGGCCCTGGTACCTTTGGTACCCACAGTCAAACTTCCCAGTGTGGAAAAGAACTCCTCCATCTCCTTCTGCAGCAGCTGGTTCCTCCTCTCAGCGTCCTCACGGGCCCGCTCCGAGTTCCGCAGTTTGATTTCCAGCATGGTGCACTTCTTCTTCTCCTGGTCCAGCTCCTCCTCTAACCGTGATGTCTGCTTTCTCAGGTCAGCACTGCTCTCTTCAATGCTTCAAAATCAAAAACCAAAGACAGTTTCAGACTCTGGCTTGCTGACTTTGCTCAGTAGCACCATCTCCAGCAGGTGCAGCCCTACGAGTCTCACCAGTGCAGGAAGGCCAGGCGGACAACAGACCTCACCCACCCCTGGTACTGCCCTGGGACACCTGTGAAAACTTTCTAATAGAAAGAAGCTCCCCAAGCCTGTGATCTAGAAATGCCACCTCAGTACAGGGGCTGAGGCTTCCCTCCAGTCCTGGCACGTGTACCACCTACTGATCACCTGCCACTGGCGAGAACAGCTCCAGATAGACATGGAGACTCAGGAAACTCCTGCTGGCCCTTCACATCCCAGTTCAAATGTCCCCCTAGGTGACACCTCCCACGATCCTTCCCACAGGTTGTGGCAGTGCTCCTTGGTACCACATCAGAGCCTACACCACACGCCTCCCAGGTTTACACTGTGCTGTGCAATGGCTGGCGCACCCATCTTTCTGACCAGATAACAAGTTCCTGCCCATCCCAAGGGATACCTGAGCCTGGCCCCTGCTTTACCCACCAGAGCTTAGGGCCCAGCCTGGCTATGTATGGGGTCCCCTGCTGTACTGTGCTGTACTGTGCTGGTGGCACAACTGACTAAATGGGGCTCCAGTATCCTTCTCTGAAATGCAGAGGCAACCCCTCCCCAGAGAACATCAGTGGCCACACACAAGGACAATGTGTGTACAGCACAGTGCTGGATACACTGCCTGCCACGATGGGCTGAGCCCAGGCCTCTTCTGAGTCACTGAGCACAAAGCTTGGAGAAGGCAGACCTCCCTTCACCAAAGCATGGATGGGCACACATCAGAAAGAGGGTGACACTGAGGCCCCATCTGCTTCTCCTTGGTCCCTAATCCCTCCTTCACTGGCCCCTCTATGCCCTCTGCTCCCCCAGGTCAGGGACTTGGGCTCCCCAGTTCCTGTCTGAGCCTCGCTGGAGCGGCCTGTCTGGTCTCTTGATCCTAAGCCTCTCTACGTGACTCCTGGTGTATTTCATGGGTCCAGCATTTAGCTCCTGACCCTCTTCCCCAAGCCACATCCCAGGGTGGTGCCCCTTTAGGCAGAGCCTTTCTCTGGGTGCTCTGACAAAACCCTAACTAGTGTCCGTCTTCCCACGACCCGGATCTTTCTCTCTCCCACATCCTGTCGTCAGCACCCATGGCTCCACCTCCAGCACACGCTCAGAATCTGGCTCCTTTCTCCACCTTCACTGCTGCCCTTGGGCCCATGCCATCACATTAGGGGCCTGAGCCCAGTGGCCTCCTGACTGGTCTCTGGTCTGCCTAGACTCCCCGGTTAGCAAGGCAGCTAGGCACACCTGTCAAAGGGACCAAAGTGCTCCATCCACTGCTCATCCCTTCCCACCTCCTTCTGAGTAAGACCAGAGCATCACTCAGGCTAGAAGGCCCCACTCTACCCCTCTGCTAGGCACTGAGTGGCTCTGAGTTTCCTCACACCCAGGTCTTCCAGCCTCTCCCCCACATGCCTCTACCCTCCACCCTATCTGATGGTTCTCCTCCACCCACCTGTAACATGCCACACTTACAAAGATGTATCTCGTGCATTGTCCCTGCCCCCCAAATGAGGGCAGGGATTTTGTTGAGCTCTGTTCATGGCTTTGTCCCTAGCATCTAGCACAATGATTCTCTTTGGGGAATGCTCAAAGCAAGATACCCCATCGGGCCATAGGGAGGGGAGACAGGGTGGAAGGCCAGTCCCAGTGCACCCTTCTCCACTGTACCAAAACTGATGATTTCACAGGGTTCCATGTGGACAGAGAACAAGGGTGCATCCCAAAGATTGCCAGCTGGGACAAGGCAGAGCACCCCTCCATGCTCAGACACCCTTCTCACTGCAGACCCTCCCTCGACAAACACAATATTCTGGCCACACTGCTAGTGAGGATACTACAAGGGCCTCCTTGTTCTCTGGGAACTTCCATCTTATTTGAGCCTATGAAGCCATAGTCCATGAGGGCATCAGAGGCTCCAGAGCACTTGGGACTTGCAGCACTGTGCTGAGCTTGCTCACCCAAGAGAGATAATTCATCCTCAGGACACATGCTCAGCTGAGTCTGGACATTTGGCCAACACCAGCAGGGCTGGAACTTGAACCCAGGCATTCTTAGTCCAAGCCCACCACCAAACATCACCACCTTCCACTGACGAGTGGAGCCTCTGTGCAGGCCAAAGAGGGAGGCTCTCAAGGTGGTGCCACAGGCAGCCACAAAGAAGAGGCTGGTCTGTTCAGTGGGCCATCATGGACAGCCCTCCTTAATCACGGCCTCCCAAACCTATGGCCATCAGCTGCCAGCAGTTCTTTTTGGCTGCTGTATCCGGGAAGGGCCACTGGCTTATTTAGAGCAGGGCCTACCAGTGTGGTTTTTCCCCAGTTTCATACCCTTTGATTTTACTTAAGTTTTCCTTTTCTCCTCTGCACATCTCAGTCCTATTGGCTCTTCAAGTCCTGGTTGGGCACTGCTTGCCATGACCAACCCTTGGCAAGGGCCTCTGCCCTCCAGTGCCCCTTCCTGTCTCTTCCCACTGTGGAATGGTACAGAGCCCAAGAGCAAAGGGGCTAGACACTGCTCTCCCAGCTCCCTATGGAGGTCCCAGGCTCAGTGAGAGAAACAAGAATGCCTTCCATGCGTGCCTCCAGTGGACAAATGCAGCCCTGAGTCCACTCAAGGCCTGCTGGAGTGTGGGACTTCAGCTCACAGGTCAGCCAGCTAATAGAGGCCCTGGGCGAGGGGCTCAGGGGCCTGAGATACTGGCAGAAGCCTGTGCCTGGCTGTCCATAGCAGTCTGCCATTGACCTCAGCTAAGAGACCTCAGCCTCTCAGAGCTTGAGGGTCTTCCCTACAAAGCAGAGAACACCCTCCTCACAGGGAGGCTGGGGGTACCAACTAGGGCCATATATGAGTGAGCATGCAAGTCACAGGGGGTGGCACATGTTCCCTGTGACCCAAGATAGATGGGGGCCCCAGCAATGGACATCTCTTCTGATCTTAGAAGGAGTTCTCACTCCCCACCAGGCTGGCTTGGGGTTGTGTGACACATGGGGCACAGGACAGAGCCAGGAGAGACCTAGGACCTGCTTCTGAGAGGCCTGCTTCACCCCCTGAGAACTACCTGCTGACTTTGCTCTGGCCAGCCAGGGCTGACATTCCCACTCAACCGTGCCTTCAGTGGGCATTTGTGAAGCACCAGTGGCATGGCAGGCCTGCCAGCTCTGGGTTTTCCCAGACATAGGCTCCATCCCACCCCTAACCAAGAGTCCTGGGAAGATTCTCCCAGAAATGCAGCTTTGGGGATACCACTCTCAGCCCTGCCTCTTGGCACTTTCTCTCACAGCCAGCAACCATGAGTTCTTAGAGGCTGTGGTCTGGCCTGGCCCAGAGGAAGCTCAGCCCTTTTACCTTTTCAGGCTCATCTGGTACTCAGTCCTCTGCTGGCACAACTCTGCCTTGAGTTCAGCCACCAGGACCTGGAGAGCCTGGCAGCGGTGGGCATGGTCCTGGGTGGGGCTGCCTAGGTCATTGGGTTCGCTGCTGCCACCACCTACACCTGCCTCATCCAGGTTGTGGCGCAGGTCCGGGGACCTGCAGTCCTCACTGCTGCTGGGGAGCGGGGAGGGCTCAAGGGCCCACTCAGTATGCAGGGAGCTGCAGGCAGACGAGTCACTGGCCCGACAGGCTGTGCAGCTGCTGACAGAGGCCTCACGGGAGGATGAAGCTGCAGACCATGCTGTGCTGGCCATGCTGGCGGTGCTGGGAAAGAGGCTGGGTTGGGGCACATTGTCATAAGTAGACAGTCTCTGCGCAGAGCCTGAGTCCTTGAGCCGGTCACCTGATAAGGCCCGGCGATGGCTGCGCAGAGAGGACAGCCCATTCATGAGCCAGTTCCCACCAGAAGAGACAATGGGCACCTCCAGGGATGAACCTCCCCGCTTTGGGCTCCCTGACCGGGACCCCGGGTGCCGGAAGGAAGACTTCCAACTGGGCAGAGTCTGCACCCCCTTCCCAGGGCTGGTGGTTATAGGGCCGCCCTGGCTACCCAGGCCTATTGTGGAGGTCCTAGAGAGCACCACTGCTGCTGGCCGGTCCAGAGAGGAGGTCCTATATGTGGGCAGGCCAGGGCTACTGGGCTCTTCCTGGCTGTCTCTGGTGACCTCCTCAGAGCCCCAACCCACTGTGCACTGTGGAACCCCACGAGGGGAGGCAGGCCCTTCCGAGACAGTTGAGGTAAACAGCTGGCTGTGTTTGCGGATGAGGACGGTCATCAAGTGCTGGACCAGCGAAGTGCCTGCCAGGAAGAGAGGAGAGAGACCTTGCTGTAAGTGACCCCGGCCTAGCGTCTCTACATGGTCAGGGGGAGGTGGAACCTGGAGATGGAGTGCCTGTCGCTCCAGGGGGCCTTTGTCTGTCTGTACAGGAAAGGACCACCACACAACCTCCAGATCCAGGCATGGGGGGAAGGACTGTGCCTACGAATTCCCTTCCTTAGACATGAAGCCTCAGCTGTGGAGGAAGCGCCAGGCGCCACGCAGAAATTGGGCCCATTAAGGCTGAGGGATTGGCAGGTGCAAGATAGACCAGAAACCAGAACCTGGGACATGAGCCTTTTCAGTCACCCCACATCTTCCCTCCTGAGCTGCTGACCACGGCTATGCCTGACTGCCCTCTAGGGCACATGGCTCTGGGAAGGAATAGCACTGTTGCACGTGTGTGTGGGCACACACAGAAAATCACACACATGATCCCCCTTCTTCAGACCAAGACCCCCTGAAACACAGACCCCAATTCTGGGGACTCGGCTCCTGTGGCAAGGGGGCAGGGGTCACCAGCAGAGGTGGGTGAGCTATCTGGCAGCTACTCACAACCAAATACCAGAGACTGGGGAGGTCTGCTGGATGATAAGGAAGACTGAGGTTAAGGTGGTCCTCAGATCCAGGAAAGATTCCTCAGAAAACCAGGTGAAGCAGGAATTCAGTGAAATAGGCAGGCAAGGGTTACCCTCCAGCGTTTGTACAGCCAGGAAGGCAGAACCCTGTGTCTGTCTGGCTTTATAGGCCCTGAGGCAGAAGAATCAGGCCAAAGTACAGGCCTGAGCAAAAGCACTGCCCCCAAGGGCTATACTCTTGGCTTAGGGACAACCAGAATAGCTCCACACCACCCCAACACCACATCTCCCCAAGGAGATGTCACGCTCAGCAAGGAGCTTGGCCCTCTCCCTGCCCTTCCTGCTAGTGTTCGTGACTGCGTGGGCCTTAGCCAGCCTCTTCACTCTTTAACCAGGAACTTGGGAGTCCCTGCCTGCTGGGAATTCCATGCCAGCTATACCTGTGCCCTTTGGCAAGTCTGGCTGACTGGCCTCTGGTGAGTCACCTCACCTCTCTTGGCCTCGGTTTCCTCATCTGTGAAATCAGAACAATTATCACAACAAGGCTGGTTGTGAAGACTGAAATTAAGTGATGCAAATAAAGCGCTAAACAAAGGCATATTGCTGCTTTTTTTTTTGTCTTTTTTTGTTTTTATTTTGAGGTTGGGGCTCATTATGTCACCCAGGCTGGCTTTGAACTCCTAGACTCAAGGGATCCTCCTGTTTCAGCCCCCCCAGTTTCCTTTTTGTGTCTTCAAATCATCTCATTATTACTTATAGAAGAGAAACTGCCTGGGTTTTGCAAAGCTCTGACATCTGCAACCTAGGACAATCAATCATGAAAGTAAAACAAAAAATGTCTGTGTATATTCAAGGACAAGGACTCTGACCTCTTTCACTACCCCAGCTCTCCCTCCAACGAACCACTGTCCATTCTAATTGCACCCACTGCCTGACTGCTACCAGCCACAGGGTAAAGTTCCTTTTCCTTTTATAGCTGACCTCATTTGGGGGAGGGTCTGGAAAGGCTCCTGTCAAGTCCCCAGGCCACCTGAGCTACCATCTCCCTGGCCTGGCTCTGGGCTGTGCCTGGGACCAAGATCTGCCCAGACCCTAGCAGCATCCAGCATTGCTATGCACACCTCCCATTACCTTCCATGATGGTCACTGGATCCTCTATCTGTGGCCGCAGGATGTTAGGTCCAAAGACAGTTGCCAAGTTCTGGACACTCATCTTGTTGATATTTGAGTGGGACTGAACTTCATCTAGAAACCTGCAAAGTAAGGAAGAAAAAGCAAATTCTGAAGTCCAATGTTATGAACTGCCTGGTCCCCTATGCCCTGCCCCAGCCACACCAACCACACCACACCCGATGGTGCCCAGCCCCACCCCCACACTCAGCTACAACCTCACACTCACCCCTCTACCCACCATACCACTATACTCCCACACCCAGCCATGGCCCCCACACCAGTCAGGCCACCCCTAACCAGGCTTTGCACAAGTTTCCAGGGTTGCTGAGCACAGCCAGCTGCCAGCTGCTAGGCTTGGATGAGGACAGAGCTTTCCCTGAGGTCCAAGAGGGCCATCAGAAACAAAAGATCTGTGGGACAAGGGCCCCATCCCACTTGGCATGGAAGGACACCCAGTTCTATAGCTTATAGTGGCAGCAGATTCCCAAGAAGGTCCATATACCCTGGCATGGGTTTGGGTGAGAGCCATCCCTTCCTTCCCCCTGCCAGTGTCTAGGATGAGGACACATGAAGAGTTATGCTCAAAGGGGAAGACACCAGAGTGGCTGGGATAGTAAGAAGTGCCCAGAAGGGCAGAGGGTATGTCCTTTCTGGAATGATCCACTGGGACTGATTAAACCACCTGCTCCCACAGCTCAGAATCTTGTCTTTTTTTTTCAAGATAGGGTCTCAAAAACTATTTGCCCAGGCTGGCTTTTGCCTCCTGAGTAGCTAGGATAACAGGTGTGAGCCACCAGCACCTAACCAGAGTCTTGTTCTTTTGTAGTCCCTGCTACAACAACCCTTGGTGAGTCTATGTTGGGTGAATGACCCAGGCCCACTCTGCAAGGGACAGGAACCTGAAGGCGTGAGAAGGGAATGTAGGGCTGTGCAGTCCCCCACACAGGACCACTTACTTGCAGATGTATCTGAGCAGGTTGTAATTGGCCTGAGGAAGGTTGCTCACTTGTTTAGCTAACTCCAAAGTCCCCTTGGGAAGAAAGGAGAAAATCACAGAACTTCAAACATTAGCAATGAGGCATTCTCTGACTTGGGGAAGGCTGGACAAGTGGAAGGGAGGTGGGGGCCTGGCCCCAGCTGACAAACTCCCTGGAGTGGCCAGGCCAGGCTGTGCCCTCCCATGGAGAATGACTTCCTTTCTGGGAGGGGTGAGCTTCTGCGGGGCCACAGAGGAATGTCTCATCTCCCTTATCAAGGCACAAATATTTACCAGTTAACAAACTTCATTTCTCACACAGCCACAGGGAGGCAAGCAGTCTTTCCCTGGCTACAACCACCTGGGGCTCGGGCCCACACCTGCAGGGCTGGGAGAGAGTGGGGCTGGACTCTCTGTCCTGGGAGCTGTCTCAGGTTCTTTCAAAGCATATAAATAGGTAAAAGGGAGTCCTTGTTTCTGAGTCCCATGACAAACCTGGGTGGTCTACACCAGGCATTGGAGAAGACAACCTGCTGTGAGATGGCCAGAGCTGGGCCGTTGGGACTTACAGTGCCTGCCCTCCCAGATGCTCAGGCACACACATGAGGGGACCACAGGATGCTCCAGGCACCTCCCTCTTCTCCCCACAGAGTAGGGTGCTCCAGGTCCCTCCCCGCCCACGAACAGCTGGCTTGTGAGCATGATCCATGTGCCACTGAGAAGTCAAGACATTTGTGTCCTGACTCCATGTGCCTGCCACCCAGCCAGTCCAACCCCCAGGATAGGTCCCCCGGAGGCACTAACCTCCCCCTCGTCCTTGGTGAGCAGCTGGGCGCAGCTGAGGAAGTCCTCATACCTGGCGAAGGGGATCACAGGCTCGGGGAGCTCCCGCAGGTACAGCTTCAGTAGGGAGGCCACTGTGTGCACATCTGTGTGCTGGGAGTGGAAGAGGGGCCATATGTGAGGCCTAGGATCCCAGGCAGCTGCGGGAATAACACAGACGCCACTCCCCACCCCCAAAGCTAGCCTCCAGTCTGTCAGGTCCATGGGTGTGTGCATGCAGGAGGCTCATCTGCAGCCAGCTGGCTCTGGTCAAGGACAGGCCCAGGCTGCCTGTGGACAGGGCTCCAGTGGGGGTGGGGATGGAGGTTGAGCACCAGGAGCCCCAGCTCAGCAACCACTCATTAGACCCAAACAGTAGCTTAGAACCCCTAGTCTCATGCAGCCAGGAGGTCACCTCCTGTGCAGACATTACAGAACTCAGGGGCTGATGGCCACTACATGCTGCTCCCCCCACAGCAGCTGCAGGGATCACCTGTGACTTGGGCTGGCTCACACTGAGCAGGAGCCTGTGGAAGCAGGCCAGGGAACAGGTGGGAGGAAAGGGATCTGTGGGGCCCCTGCAGGGTCAGGTGGGAGTGCCTGCTCCTCAGAGTGGGAACAGCTGTCCTACCAGTCCTTGCTAGGGACCACAGAGCCCTGACCTGAGCTCGCCCTTGTGAGTCACCCATACATTGCTACACAGCTCCCATTGGAGAGCAGGCTTCTTGGGTACCTGCTACCAGGAGCTTGGCAGGTCAGAAGTCAGGCTCCTCCCCTGGCCTCTTGGATCCTGTCCACACTTAAGATAGCTGGGTTTCTCTCATCACCCAATTTCTAGGGCCCTGTGTGTCCACCACAGGCCTCAGTCTCTTACTCCTGACTTGGAGCTGCCCATGATGAAATATGTCACTGGATACAGTGATGGTCACAGCCCAGGCATAATCTCTCCCTGGATCCTATTTGGGCTCTGTGGTGCAGTTCCTGGTCTACAGCTGGTCTCTCCTCCAAGCTAGCATTTCAGCCAGACCTGGACCCCAGGGAACTCATCAACTTTCCTAGCACCTGGCTTTAACCCCAGGCTGTGTGATTAAGGTGTCACCTGGCCCTGGCTAAGTCCTGTATTGGCCTCACTAAGCACTGATCCTGACATTTAGGATCCTAGGGTTCCATATGCCTACATATATCCCAAATCCACCCATGTGGAGCCCCCTCCTTGCCTGAGGCCCAGTGACTCTTGGTCTGGCAGGACCAGCAGGCTCCCTGTTCTGCCTGCCCAGTCTCATCTCTCCAGCCAGGCCTGCTGTTGCCCACCCTTCACTGCCTTTTCCTGGGTCACCTTCACCATCCCCAGCCCGGAGTGATTATGGTCACAGAGGGTGCCGGGCTGAGCCTAGGGCCCCTGCAGGCTTAGTGGCTGCAGCTTCCTGAGTGGGTGCCTGAGGAGAACTGGGAGAGGGATAGGAAGCAGGGGGGGCCATCAGCTGTGCCAGGTAGAATGATGTGTGTCCCTTCTGCAGGTGTCTGGATGAATGAAGGCTTTGCCCTGAGCCTTTCCCTCCCCAGCCCTCCTGCTGCACTCACTGCAGGCCTCTTACGTTGAACAGTTGAATCAAGGCTTTTTCTTCCTACTTTTCCAGGTCTTCCCCTCCCACATCCACTCTGCACTTAGCCTCATCCCCATAAGCACCCAAGGAGAGCATTCCACTCAGTGCACAGTAGGTGCCCACCAGCATGAGGGTCTCATAGCATGCAGCAATTGCTGCTGGTGGAAGGGGCCAGGTACAGGCACAGACCAGACACAGCCAGTTTGCAGGCCTGCCCTGGTCAACTCAGCTGCCCTCGCTGCCACCTGCAGGGAAGCAGGTCAGCCAGAACTTAGCACCAGCATCCATCCAAGACATGAACCTAGGCTCCTGCCTTACACACACACACACACACACACACACACACACACACACGCACGCACGCACGCACGCACGGCATCCTGATGGCTTCTGGTCCCCTTGCCCAGCCCTGTCCCCTAGCCAAGTGCAGTTCTGAGAACACTCACCCCAAAATCACCATCTGCTGGGCTTACAGAGGCCTAGTGGCTGCCCATGAACCTGTAGCACAGTGTCCTCGTAGGCTGCCTTCTGCCAGGGCCAGCCTGGTTCCCAAATGTGCTCACTTAGGATGGCAGCTGCAGGTAACACAGAACTCACATCTGGCTCATGGCCCCTTCTGGGCCCCAAGGTGCTCCTCAGTCACTGAGAGGACTAGCTCAGGTCATTGCAGCTTCCAGCCAGTGGGGCTGCTGACAGGGGAGAGGATGCTCTTACCAAGATGAGCAGGGTTTGAAGAGGGTGTGTCACACTGGAGGGGTGCCAAAGACAGAAGCAACACCCCAGCAGGCAGCCAGGCTACAGAATGTGCAGAACGAGGCCCTACCGCCTGGAAGCACCAGCCTGCACTCCCTGTGAGTGGGTGGGCAGGGAGGGAAGCCTGAGATCCTCTGTGATGGGTAGTTAGAGGAGCCCGGGGAGTCCCTGCGAGCAGGCTAGAGGAGAGGGGAGCCTCTGTGAGTGGGTGGGTAAGGAGGGGACTCTCAAGGACCCCCTGTGAGCAGGTAGGCAGGGAGGAGAGCCTAGGAAACCCGTGACAGGTTGGGCACAGCTACAGGGGAGCTATGAGAATGACAGAAAGGAGAGGAAAATGTTCTCAGATACTCCAGAAGGAGTTTTTAAAGGTGGGAAACCAGAGCTCAGGGCAGGGCAAGTCTGAGATGCACACCTGGGAGGGTGAGGCTCTGTTAAGATTCTAGGAAGAGGAGTGGAGGTGGCCAAGGTGGCAAGGCAGCCAGAAGAGGTGCATCGGCTCACACTACTAGGAAGCTGGGACACAGGTCTGTAGGCAGAGGCTGTAGGCGGAGGCTCAACAGGTGAGCCAGCTAGACGAGCCAGGCTGAGCCCAGCCAAAACCATGCCTTAGGCAAAGATGATAACCTCAGGAAGGTGAGGCCCAAGACTTCACCCAGGCCAGGAAGCCCCAGGGAAATCTGCATAGGAGAGTAGTAAGGGTGGATTTGTGTTTACAGAAATTCTTCCTCTGGTATTGAGCACTAGGGCAGGGTGTCCAATCTTGGGGAGCTTCTAAAAGCCTCAATTCCAGGCCCTACCTAGGGAGCATTTGCTTGAAGCAAACTCCAACTCTGACCTCAGACCATATAAGCACAGGAGAGAAGAGCCTGGCTGGCAGAGGTTCAGAGTGAGCCACAAGCTCACCAACAATCATCCTTGGGATGGAGTCTTACAAGGTTCCAGATGAAGGGACCCCTAGGTCCTCCCTGGGCCAGCTACCTCTGGGAAGCATATGTAGGGAAATATCTAGGTGCTGGGATCCATATCTAGGGAAAGGAACTGGCAACCCCCTGGCTATGGCTGTGGCTCTGGGCAGATGCTGGAGGGACGCAGACATTCTGCCCTGAGAGAAGACCTGGGAAGGCCTGGGCTGCCATGAGTACCAATGGGCCTGTCCTGCTGCAGAGGAAGGCTGAGTCTGTGAGGACAGATCTAAGAAGGGGCAGAAGCTCCACAGAGGACTGTGTTGGCATGATGCAAGAACTTTCTATGAAAAACTGTGCCATAATGGGTGGGATCCTGTCAGAGAGAAGAGAACTCCCAAACAGCACTGGGAGTGGGGGAGGGGGGAGCCACATCGCTCCCATTCTCAGCCCCTAGGCTGTAAATGTACTTGTCTCAACCTAGCAGTGGCACTTAGGGTGTGGCTAAGTCAATGATGGGTTAGAATGTGTACAGACCCGGGGCAGGTGGAAGAGGCCAGTTTCCCTGTCCCAAGACCTGAGAGGAGATGGGACAGAGCGGCCACTGATGGAGCCTGGGGTGAATGACCAAGAGGAGGCAGAGCCAGGAGACAGATCCTGCAGTGAGTCTAGAGTCTCAGACACAGCTGTGCCTGAACTACTCTATCCTGGCAGCCAGCACAGCCTCTTTCCTTCTTCCTAGGCCAGGCTGACAAGCCATGAAACAGCCAGAATGCACATGAGTGGTCTGTGTCATCTGTGGCAGGCATTCATCCTCAAGACGAGACCAGGCTTACAGGAGTGATTCCATGCCCTTTGCTCTGCCTGCTGGCATACATATGCCAATGTGGACAAGCAGCCACCTGCCATCCACCTGCCAGTCTCCCCAGGCAGCAGCTGGGAAGGAGCTCCAAAGGACACTGGGACCACAGGCTCTATCTGCACCACCAGGTCCCACAGAGCTCACCTGTCAAACAGTGGCTTCTCCCCGCAGTCGAAGGAATCCTGCAGGTCTCTCACCAGGTTGGCCTGGCCTGGCATGCGGAAGAGCCCCTCCTCAGTGAGACCCCGCTCCCGGATGAAGTCCACACACTGTTCCACCAGCAGGGGTGCCAAGCGGGGGCCATACTTCCGTTCATGATGCACGGTATCTTCCAGGCGCTGCCCAAAGATCCCTGGGCACAGAGGGGAGCTGGTCACACCCTCTGCCACCCAGCTTAGGAGAGGGGAGGGCACTTGGGACAATGGAGTGCAGGGGGTACTGTGAGGGCCAAAAGAGGCTCTACCTGAGGAATCAAGTAGACACTGGGAAGATGCACCCACTGGATAGAAAGCCAAGGAGTAGTGGGTATATGGCCTGCCTTGACCTATGAAGCCTGCCCAAGCCAGGAGCAAAATGGCCCTTGGGGAGCATGAATTATGCATTTTATTGATCGGTTTTGCTGCCACACTCCAAAGGGAAAGGCATCCAAGGCCCATTCGACAGTGGAACGAGCAGATACCTCACGGATTTGCACATGGGATACAGCGTAGCCAACAGAGTACGTGAGGCACAGCTCACAGGACAAAGCAGATGACACATTAATGTGACCAACACAGCCACGATTTAGCATCATCAATTACTAGGGAAATGCAAATCAAAACCACAGTGAGCCACTACCCTCACACCCCTTCAGCTGGCTACTGTTAAAAGGACAGAAAATTAGTGTGGTCAAGGATGAAGAGAAGCTGGAGCACTGGGGTGTGAATGAGACCTGCTGTAGTTGCTGTGAGACACAGTCAGATAAAATACAATTACTGTACCATATATGCCAGCAACTCCACTTCTAGGTAGACACTTCCCCCAAAAAACTGAAAACAGGGTCTCAAAGAGATACCTGCACATCCATGTGTACAAGCAGCATTCTGAACAGTTGCTAAAACGTGGGAGCAACTCAGGTGCCCATCAAAGGATGAATGATCAAAGTGTGATCCATCTGAACAATGGGACATTATTCAGGCTGAGAAAAAGAGAGAAGTTCTGACATCTGCCACAACACGGATAAACCTTGAAGACACTACAAAACAAGCCATTTGCAAAAGGACAGACCTTATGTGAGCCCACTCATGTGGGGTTCCTAGAATACTCAAATTATGCTGACAGAAAGTGGAAGGGGGAAGCCAAGGGCTTGGGGGGAGGGAAATGGGGAGTTACTATTTAGTGGGTGCAGGGTTTCAGTTTTCCAAGATAAAAACAAGTTCTAGAGATGGATGGTCGTGGTGGTTGCACAGCAGTATGGAGGTACTTAGTGTCACGGAACTGTACGCTGTAGAAAGGGTTAAGAAGATGGTAAATTATGCTAGGTATATTTTATAAAAAAAATTTAAAATAAAACCATAATTGTAAGCAAAAGGAGCCAGATCCAGAGTACACACTGCATGACTCCATCTCTGGGAAGTCAGAACCAGAGATGAAGTGACCCATGCTGCAAGCCAGGGCACTGCTCTTGGAGGGTCAATGACCAGAGACATCTGGAGACTGGACTGAGTATAGCATTTCTTAGAATGCTATACTTATATCACTTTTGAAAAAAACCCATCAGGACGAAAAGATCAAAAACATCTACTCCAGGACAAAATAGCAAATAAGGGATAGGAGAATAAGAGGGAGAGAGGAAGAAGGCAGAGAAACTTCTGGTTGGGAAAATCTATAACAACTATATACAGAACTGGGCTAAGAGGTTCCTGGCAGCCCAAGCAAAGAAGGGAAGGAGCTGAGATCAGTAAAGTTCTCTATCCCACCACTGAGTAGCAAGACAAACAACCTCTCCCAGCCCTAAGCCCTATGAGGACTTTGGAATGCCTGATATTATTAACGTAATAATGTATAGATGTTTCCTGTAGGGCACTGTAAAGGAGTGCCAGGGCATGATGCCAGAGACCCACTGAGTCCATGCACAGGACGTCCCAGAACCTGGATGGTGAGCCAGCTGAGGAGTTCAATCCAGCAGCCTGCTTCACTCTGCTATGAGGGCTGTTTTGAAATAAAATATATCAGTGTCCTGGCTGGGGGTGTGACTCAGTGATAGAGCATTTGCCCAATAGGCATGAAGCCCTGGGTTCCATCTCAGCACTGCAAAAAAAAAAAAAAAAAAAAAAAAAGCCAGTTTCTTACACAGTGCCTGGCACACAGCACAACTCAGCAAATGCTGCTCCTTACCCTACTTGACCTAAAGACAAAGCAACCAGAACCAGGGCAGGAAGACTCCCTTCTAGGAAACATGCACATGGGGTGCGTCCGGTGGATGCCTTCAATGCTTTGGGGAAAAGTGTGTGTGCTGTGTACACATTCATGGCATTTGGCACTGGGAATTGGGCATTCATGTCAGCTTATGTGTGCACATGTGAGAACAGGATGTGGTCACCAGCACACAGTGCTGTGGTGACAAGTGTGGTTCTGAGCACTGCACACACACACCAACATCAATTTCAGAATTTAAGAATGTGTCCATGTTCTCCTTGCAATTGTCAGGGCCCAGGTTCAAGCCCTGGCAGTGTGGCTTCAGGGGCAGCACCCATTCTGGGTCACATGGTTGCTTGCTGCCCAAGCTGGGACAGACCCCTAGTGAGGTAGACACTGTGGCCTTACTGCCCTGTTTCTCCTCTCCTCACAGCGGGTCCCAAAGACATGGATGAGCTGCAATACTGGCAAAGAGGGAAGGCTGCCACCTCTGAACTACTACAGAGTGGGGCCCATGGTCAGCACACAGCCACAGCCTCAAGTGCAGGGGCTGTGTTTGCAGAGGCCTGTCAGAGGCCACTGCACAGGTTAAGTTGGAGACAGACCACCTGACAGTGGCTTGTCTTTTTCATCTGGCTAGTCCCGGGCCACAAGGGCCCTGTTGCCTCTCCCAACACTCAGGGCATAGTCACCCTATGGTGACTGGCTGCTTGGATCCTCAGATGTATTTGCTTGGGATAATTTTTAAGTTATTTAAAATCAAGACATTTCAGAGTCTGAATTCCCAGTATGTGTGGCACTCTGTTACTGAAATACATCCCTAGCCCCCCAACTTCTCTTGAAATATCTACGGTGATGGTAGCACCAGGCCCAAAAGGCAACAATGGCAGAGCTTTGGGCAGACACCCACTTGCTTATTCTCTGCAGTCCCATTGCTCCTGTGCCTCCTATCCAACCACACTTTACTTGTAGAGCTTTGCAGGGTTTCACATCCCTCTTCTGCTTTGAGCTCCCAAGGAGCAATAGGGTCAGGAGAAATGGGAAGGAGTCCTGACCTGGGAGGGAAGAAATGCGAAGTCATGTGCAATGTGACCAGAGGTGCCTGCCTCAAATGAGCAAGCCGAGAATTAGATAAGGTGCCCACAGCAGAGAGTCCTCAAGAGGGGAGGGCGCTAGCCTGGCACTACACCTTGGCACCTGCCTCCCTCCCAGTGATGCATATGGACTTTTTGGTTCAGTTATACGCACTCCCGGAGCAGCATCTTCAGTATTGCTTTCCTGCTGCGAGCCTCCCACCTGGGCAGGGATTTCCACCTCCATCACAGCCCTGACCCCTATAATCACAGTGGTGTGAGGACACTTGCTTTTGCCTGGACCCTTACCTGGGGCCACCTCCTCTCCCTACTGCAGAAATTGAGTACAGCCAAGTACAGGAGGGATGGACATACCAGGCAATGCCAACTTCCATCCCAATTCACTGTGCTCAGCTCCCCACCTCAGTTCACAGTAACCGAAAGCCTCGGACAGGAAGAGACACAGAGAAAAACAATTACAAATTCTCTCTACAGATCTGCCAAGCTTGGGTAATTACATCTGACCTCCTCTTGCCAGTCCTTCTAGCTCTCCATGTCCTGTCCCCAGGACAACTGCTGTTCATCTGCCCTTCTGTCTTTCTGTCACTCAGCACTTGTGCCTGGCCCTGTTCTAGGTACACCTTCCCCTTATCCACAAACGACACAATCCAAGGCCCCCTGCGGATGCCTGAAATCACACAGAACACCCTATATACACTGATACTGCCTTTTTCTATATATACCTATGACCAAATTAATTCATAAATTAGATAAGGTAAAAGGTTAATTATAACTAATAAAATAGAGCAATTATAACAATGTACTGGAATAAAAGGATGTGAACATGACCACATTCGTCTCTCCCCCAAACTATTTTATTGTACTTTTCACTCACAGGACGTGAAAGCCTGAACTGCCGGCCTCACATTGAGGCCCTATTGAACAGAACAGGGGCTACTGAACACAAGCACTGTGATACCATGAGAGATGATCACCAAAATGGCTACGGAGTGACTGACGTATGAGTAGTGTACATAGCGGGGGCACACAATCCATGTCCCAGGGAGGACACAGTGGGATGGTGGGAGGTTCCATCACAATCCTCAGAATGGCACACAATGGAAAACTTATGAACTGTTTATACATCTGGAATGTCCCATTCAGTATTTCAGGCTGCAGGGGAACATAGGTAACAGGAACCATGGAAAGTGAAGTTGTGGAGAAGACAAGACTGAAGAGACTCAGAGCTGCCTGGAGGACTGAAACATAAATCCCACCATTGCCTCATCTGCTGAAAACGCTGTGCTGTCTGCCCTGTGCACAGGATAAAGGCTAAGTCCACCAGGTGCAGAACCTGGGCCAGCCCAACTGTTCACACAGCACCCAGGCCTGGCAGTTCTGCATCTGGGACAGGCCCTCTCAACCCCATCAGGACCATCGCCTCCCAGTCCTCCCATGCTAGAAACCTCCCTGACCTCTCCCTGCCCCCAAATAGAGCTGAGAGAGCCATTCTAAACAGTGACTTTTACTCAAAGTCTAAGAGTAAGGAAGAATGGGGGGCGGGGGAGGCACATGACAGAGGACCCCTGATTGGGGAGGTAGGGAATGAGGGAGGCTGGGAACATGCTGGTACCCTGACCTGGCAAACCCCAGGAGCTATGTTGAGCACTGACCCCATATGACTCTCAGGTACCCAGAAGCCCTCAAAGTGCTGAGCTTCTGCATGGCATGGGGATGTGCACACAGGCAGGCAGGTAGGTAATGTTCAAGGCCAAAGGCCCCAGACACAAAAGTCCTGAGTCCCCAAGAGCACTAGTTGGTTGCACATTGTTGCTGAGCCACTAAGGAATGCAGTGGTCCCCTCTCCTGGGCCTCAGTCTCT